AGCAGCAGCTTGGTTGATGGCTAACTGGAGCATTGCTCTTCATCATTCAGTCATTTATTAATTATTTATAAACTCAAACATTTATTCAGCACCTGCTAAGTGCTAGTTCCTCTGCTAAGTAATGGGGATACCAAGAGGACTCTGTCCCTACTGCAAGGAACTTGGAGATTTGTTGAGATAACTTTTTGTTGCAAACAGTGTAAAATGCTATGATAGAGATGAGCCCAAATGAGAAAGAATCTGAGTTAAGAGAATGGCCAGTAAAGGCTCCTTGGTTTGAGCTGGGCCCAGATGACTGAGTGGGGTTTAACTGGCCAATGAAAAGAGAGACAACGGATTCTACATTGAGTATATATAGAAATCAGGTCCATGAAAACTACTAGAAATTATCATTAGAATGTCATGAGAATGTGGGCCTTTCAAGAGCAGACCTCACTTAGCACATAGTAGCTGTTTAATAAACATTTGTTGAGAGGAATGTGTTAAATAACATTTACTGTGCTTGTCCATATTTTTGTAAGAGATGAACTCATTTTTAATACCTGACAATGTTTAGATCATGTGGCTTAACAAAACATTGTAAAATGATTAAGAAACAGCTCCTGGCCCTAGCTGGCTTGGCTCATGGATAGAGTGTCAGCCTGCAGACTGGAGGGTCTCAGGTTCGATTCTAGTCAAGGGCACACGCCCAGGTTGCGGGCTCAATTCCCAGTAGGTGGCATGCAGGAGGCAGCCGATCAATGATTCTCTTTCGTCACTGATGTTTCGATCTCTCTTTCTCCTTCCGTTCCTCTCTGAAATCAAGAAGAAGAAAAAAATGTATATATATATGTATGTATGTGTGTGTATGTGTGTGTGTGTGTGTGTGTATATATATATATATATATATATATATATATATATATATATATATATATAAATAAACAGCCCCTGCGTTGAGATATGTCTTGTAAGGGAAAATACATGCAGACAAACCCTTGTAATTAAACATGATTATTTAGGGACTCTTTCCCCCTCCCCACGTTGGAGTCTGTGCTTGTTTCTCAATAAATTTCCACCCTTTGATAAAAAAATAAAATAAACATGATTATTTATGGTTATAAAATATATTTGCAATAAGGGGTACCCACCTCTTCTATGGATTGGCTAGATCCCTGAAAAGTGGTAGGTAATATAAATTTTCAAATTAAACTTATTTGATTGATAAAATACAAGGGCTAACATTGTAGTAGGTCATTAAAAAATGGCAGTCATGTCCTTTTTGCCCTATCACATTAATATGAATTTTACATAAATACTATGAGGAAAGTGCCTATGTAATGAATGAAAAAAGTTACTTTCATTCAAGGTAAAAGTTCTGTCAAGAGGCAGCCATCAGTGTATACAAATGTTTCCTATGCTTAATCTCTGAGTAACATCATGATTTTTCCCAAATCTGCATACTACTTGTACTATTACTAATTTAATGACTTCTTTTTTGGACATACTTTAAAAATATTTTGGCCTGGCCATTGTGGCTCAGGGTTGAGTATTGACCTATGAATCATTAATGTTTCTATCTTTCTCTCCCTCTCCTTTCCTCTCTAAAATCAATACAAATATTTAAAAATATATATTTTGAAGGAAGCTTTATGTTACTACCAGCATGAAAGACTAACATTTCTTACCCTAAATAAAATGCAGCTTAAATATAATAAAAACAAATCAATGTTATAAAACCTAGCTAGCTGCTGTTTGCAGAAGGTAGGGAGTTAGAGGCCTGCCAGCCTTTAATTAAAAGGAGAGGCTAAGAAGTGTTAGGAAGGTGTTGAAGACAGAGCGGCACCTTGCTTAGATTTTCTCCATGATGTAAACAGAAGGACCAAAGAGACTCAATGAAGTAACTTTCCCTCGTAGTGAGTCCATGTTGTTTAGTGTCATGGGGAGGAAGGGATGCACTCCGTTGGCCAGAGTGATTCCCCCAGAACTTCACAGAGGGAAGAGATTTGGAGGCTGGGCCTTAAAGGATAAGTCTGAGTTCACTTGAAAATAGGAAGCATACGGGCCTCTTAGACCTGTATAATAGCATCTGCAAATATTAAAGACTTTAGGAAATAATATGGCAGCAACATCTGATTTGGGAGGAGGGTAAGTGGAGAAATGTTAGGAGATGAGATAGATGTAAAAAGGAGGATTTAAAGGATTAATCCCTGGTAACTTTTTCTAAACTTTCACATATGCTTACTTCATAGAATTTGAGGGAATTTACATTATTTATTTAGCCCTGAAGTCCAACTAATCCTGACTTTGTCAGTTAGTTTGAAACTTTCAAAGAAAGGGGGGTTGTCCAGATACTGACATATATTAATAGTTGTTGAAAGAGTTGGGTAATTAGAGGTGACCTTGACCACAAATAAAAGCTGGGTGAGCCAGATACACCTGAATTCTACTCTCAGCTTTGCCAGTTGTTAATTTGACGTTAGGCACATTATTTAATTTCCTCCATTTTCTCATCTGTAAAATGTGTATAAGAATGCCTGCCCTACTGCTTGCTTTCTTTGTTTCTTTCTTTCTTTGTTTCTTTCTTTCTTTCTGAAATCAGTAAAAATATATTTTAGCCCAACCAGTGTGGCTCAGTGGTTAAGCATTGACCTATGAACCAGGAGGTCAGGGTTCGATTCCTGGTCAGGGTGCATGCCTGGTTTAGGCTCGATCCCCAGTAGGGGGCCTGCAGGAGGCAGCCAATCAATGATTCTCTCCCAACATTTATGTTTCTATCTCTCTCTCTCCATTTCCCTTCCTCTCTGAAATCAATAAAAACATATTTTAAAAAATACATATTTTAAAAAAGTTATTGTTGGACTTACTAGAATAATAAAGAGATGATTAGTTTGTTTACTTGAAGTCTGGCTGATACTTAGAATTTAGAACTATTAGATGCCTATCATTAACTTAGGATGTCTTTAATTAGACATTTTCAACAGAGAAAACATGAAACACGATTCTTTTTTTTTTTTTTTTTTTCTCCTTCAGCTTGTTTTTTTTTTTTTTTTTTTTTTTTTTTATATTTTATTGATTTTTTACAGAGAGGAAGGGAGAGAGATAGAGAGTTAGAAACATCGATGAGAGAGAAACATCGATCAGCTGCCTCCTGCACATCTCCTACTGGGGATATGCCCGCAACCCAGGTACATGCCCTTGACCGGAATCGAACCTGGGACCTTTCAGTCCGCAGGCCGACGCTCTATCCACTGAGCCAAACCGGTTTCGGCGAAACACGATTCTTATTCCATAAAATATTTGAAACAACTTTGTCTTACTTTAGAGTCCTTCTCTTGAGTCACAGGAGTTTGTTCAGGCACAGTTGCTAACATTTGTAATGTGTATCCTCCTTGGAACTTTTCATGCTTTTCTAATTCACACATTTCACCCTATCAGGCTGTGCTTCCTTTCTGTGCTCTGTGTTCGAGTAGGCATGTTTGCTTATCAGGCGTTGGCAAACCCTTTCTGTAAAGGGCCAGATAGTAAATATTTTAGGCTTCGTGGGCCATATGGACTCTGGCAACTGTTCAACTCTGCCACTGTAGCATGAAAGCAGTTTTAGATAATGTATGAACAAGTGGGCATGACTCTGTTCCAATAAAACTTTATGTATACAGACAGGCAGCCAGCTGAATTTGGCCCGTAGGCCTTAGTTTGCCATTGTGGAAGGATTTAGAAACCCAGTGCACTTTGCTCTTTCAATTAAAATCTCCCCATTAAAATCTTGTCAGTTTGGGCTCTCAGTGATAAGTGTTCATAATATGAGTTAAAAAGCTTAAGATCTGATTTAACTTGCATGGGTGTAATAAACTTTATTTTGTAGAAATGTGATAAGCGGAACTGAATTTAATATTCTGTATTTTAAAAGTCTTATTTTTGACCACTCCAAAAAGAAATTATCTAGCTTGGGGAATGTTTGCAAATTTCAGGAATACAGATTCTTGTTGTGATTGACCTGGACAGAAATACAGATCAGGCTAAATTAAGACCTGGTGGTCCAGGGTAGATTTTGATGGAGTTGGCTGTAGGGGTCGATGGAAGGGAGAGAGATCTTGCCACATACATGTGAAGTTTCCTGGGGTTTCCATTTTTCAATCCTGCTGTTGGAAGTCTGGAGAATTAATCAAGGGGTGATCGTAATTGAGCACACAGGCTCACTTCTGACTTCTGCAGATGATTTAGTATACTCTGGCATTTGGGAGGGGTTGGAGAGGTTTATATCAAAGTGCTTTGAAAATACTAACCCGTCAGCATAGGAGAGGTTGAAAGAGAAGAATTAGCAGAGAAGCATATTAGGAAATTCTTTTCAATTGTCTGGATTCCTGTGACTAGAGAGCCCTGACCATTGTGGCTCAGTGGGTTGGGTATTGTCCCGTGCACCAGGAGGTTGTGGTTTGATTTCTGGTTAAGGGACATTCCTGGGTAGTAGGGGACATGTAGGAAGCAGCCAATCGATGTTTCTCTCTCTTGGCAATGTTTCTCTCTCTTTCCCTTTGCCTTCCCCTCTCTCTCTAAAAAAATAACAATCAGTGAAAACTTGTTTTTAAGTATTGTTTTGGAGAGTAGGCCACTACCTGATATTTGACAGCATTCTGACCTGCTTATAGAAAGAAAAGCAATAAAGCTTATAATTTTTGGACTTGATTAAAGAAAAAGTTCTTAGCAAATTTGTCTGATGTTCTAGTTTTGTTTAAAATGTCTCTACAGCCGAAACCGGTTTGGCTCAGTGGATGGAACGTCGGCCTGCGGACTGAAAGGTCCCAGGTTCGATTCCGGTCAAGGGCATGTACCTGGGTTGCGGGCACATCCCCAGTAGGAGATGTGCAGGAGGCAGCTGATCGATGTTTCTCTCTCATCGATGTTTCTAACTCTCTCTCTCTCTCCCTTCCTCTCTGTAAAAAATCAATAAAATATATATTTAAAATAAAATAAAATAAAATAAAATAAAATAAAATAAAATAAAATAAAATGTCTCTACAGTGCTCGCTCTGGCAGCACATAGACTAAAATTGGAGCGACACAGAGATTAGCATGGCCCTGCGCAAGGACGACACGCAAATTCGTGAAGCATTCCATATTTTTTAAAAAATGTCTCTACAAAAATGTCTTTGAAGACACTGGGGACTATTGAAGGGTTTGGAAGGTGAGTTCTGGTTTAGATTAGGTGGAACTTTCAAGTGTTAATTTTTAAACTGAAGCTACATTTGAAGGTTTTAATTTCTAAATTGCATACATTGGTTCATATTTTGCAGTGCATTGGAAACATTTAATGTGTCCTCTCTTCTTGAACAGTGTTTTGGTTGAGCTCCTTGAGATTAGAGGACCTGGCTAGGTACCAGCAAAAACTCAGTCATGTTTTTGTTGAATTAAATTGTATTAGAGCAGCAAGAAGGGCACCATTTGAGAAGTTCTAAAATACTTTCTCCTGTTTCTCATTATGAAAAATTTCAAATACACAGAAACCTTTGAAGGATAGTACAGTGATCACCATATACCCACCACCCAGATTCAACAGTTGTTTAAGTTTTACTTTTTTTAAAAAAAATATATTTTATTGATTTTTTACAGAGAGGAAGGGAGAGAGATAGTTAGAAACATCGATGAGAGAGAAACATCGATCAGCCGCCTCCTGCACATCTCCCACTGGGGATATGCCTGCAACCCAGGCACATGCCCTTGACCGGAATCGAACCCGGGACCCTTCAGTCCGAAGGCTGACGCTTCATCCACCGAGCCAAACCGGTTTTGGCTAAGTTTTACTTTTGATTTTTGTTCTGAACCATGTACTAGAAGTTGCAGAAATTATAACACTTCATCATACTTGTGTGTGCATCTCTTAAAAATAAGATCTTTTCCTGTTTAACCACAGGATTTCTGAGTCGTTCTTGTAGAGATTAGGGTAATAGTGTACTATCTCTATCACCTCTCACCTGTGTGGCCTTGCACAAGTTATTTGACATTTCTGACCTCAGTTTCCTAAGCTGCAAGTACCTGTCTCAGGAGGGATATTATAAAGGTTAAGTGTGTGAAATTCTTAGAACCATACCAGGCACAGTTTTCAGTTTATAAAGCATTTTCTCATATAAATTCTCAGTGTGGTGAAGAACATCACACCCCCCATTGTTCCCAGAGTGGGAAACTTTTACCTCACCTTCCCCATATGTAGATGTCAACAAAACTCATAATTTCTACCTCCTAATATCTCCCAATTTTGTCCTGTTCTTTCCATTGCTACTGCAACACTTCTTGTGTATCAACAATTTCTTAATCTGTCTTCATCTAGTTCCATTTCCCCTCACTCATCCCCACCTCCTCATCCTTTTCTTTCTTTCTTTTTTATTTTGAGAGACAAAGAGAAGCTTCGATTTGTTGTTCCACTTATTATGCATTCACTGGTTGATTCCTGTGTGTGCTCTGACTGGGGTTTGAATCTGCAACCTTGGCGTATTGGGACGATGCTCTTGCCAGTTGAACTACCCAGCCAGGGCTCCTGATCCTTTTCCTTACTGCCAGAGTTTATGTTTTCAAATACAAATTTAACCATACTAACTCCCTTTAAAACTCGTTTCCCATCACCTACAGTGCAAAATCCAAATCTCTTAACTCTAGCTTCAACGTACCTTCTGTCTCTGTAGCCTTCTCTCTCATTATACACTTCCTCGCCTTCTCCCACCTGACTCTTAACAAACACATGTGCCCCAAAGTAGTGTGCCACACGTTGTGCTCTAAATATGTTCTATGTTACACATCTCTGTGCTTTTGCTGATTGGCTTCCTCTGTTTGGAATGCTACCCCCACCTACCATCCTCTTTATGGCTGCAGAACTTGACTTTTAAGAATAGGTGCAGGTATTTAACTCCTCAGTCGTTTCTTCTTTCTTGTCCCTACTCTACAATGTAGTCTTATAAGTAGTAGTAGTCTATAAGTAGTAGCATAATACAACATTTTCGGGCAGCCATTTATTGGCATGTCTGTCTCAGTCTAGTAGATTAAAAAGTCCTTGAAGGCACACACTAGTTTTTATCCTTTTTTGGATCCCTAGTACCTAATACGTTGCTTGTACCAGGCACAAAACAAATGTAGATATCATGTCCATGTTTTGTGGATGAAAAAAAATTGAGGTTGAGAGGATATGCATTATGTACCCAATGTAGCAGAACTAATGAATGAAGCATACAGATCTTTAAGGGCCCATTTCAGTACTGCTTTCATTAACTATACTACTTCTAATAATTACAACCATTTGATGAGTGATTCTGTGCTTAGTCTGTGGACTTAGAGCCCCCTAGAGGATCTTAAAGTTCCCACATGAAAGTCTACATTTACAGTGGTTCTCAACCTTCCTAATGCCGTGACCCTTTAATACAGTTCCTCATGTTGTGGTGACCCCCAACCATAAAATTATTTTCGTTGCTACTTCATAACTGTAATTTTGCTACTGTTATGAATCATAATGTAAATATCTGGTATGCAGGATGTATTTAGGCGACTCCTGTGAAAGGGTCGTTTGACCCCCAAAGGGGTCGCGACCCACAGGTTGAGAACCACTGGTCTACAAAGTCATATGCATTTTCTGTAGACTGAGTTAGTAAGGTTATATATATGTGTATGTATGCATGTCACCAATTTTTGGAACGTACACAGATGTCCTTGTGACTAGTAGTGAATTGTCTTGGTGAAGTAGTCATATTTATATCCTTTGAGAGGAAAGTAGTAGGGGGCTGTAACCATCTAGAAGAGTTGGAATAACATTTTTGCATAGTTCACTAGGGAATTGATAAGGTACAAGAAAGTATTTTTTTAAATTGTTTTATTGCTTAAAGTATTACAAAGGATATTACATATGTCTCCTTTTTCCCCCCACCCTTGACATTCCCCTGGCCTCCCCTACCCCCCAGTGTCTTGTGTCCATTGGTTATGCTTATATGCATGCATATAAGTCCTTCGGTTGATCTCTTACCCCCCCTTCTGCCCCCCTACTCTCCCCGGCCTTCCCACTGCAATTTGACAATCTGTTTGAGGAAGAAAGTATTTTTTGAAAGTAATTAAATTCAGATTAGATGGTAATATCTGAAATTTTCCAAGTCATCAGTTGTTCATTAAAATAAAAGAAAGTTAAAAATGTTCTGAAGCCAAACTTAATTAAAAGTTGTTAAATCTACTTTTTTAAATAAGGTGGTTTTAAATATATTTTCAGCTGGAGCCATAATGTTTAAATTTTTTTGTCTTAGCACCAAAATATTTATTTTATATATATATGGATACATTTTCATTGGATCTCTAAACACATTGAAAGTTCTGTGGTCTAGGTTGTCTTCTCTTTTCAAATCTAAATTCACTACAAATTATATTTTATCAATTCCAAATAGGTCCATTAAGGGCACGTAAGAATCTGATTGGCTGGGACCACTTTCCCCCAGCTTTATTGAGATGTAATTGAAATATAATGTATATTTAAGGCACATAATGTGATACAAGTATGTATTGTAAAATGTTGACCATAATAAGGTTTAATCAACACATCCTTCACCTCACATAATATCATTTTCTTGTTGTGTTGTTATGGTGAGAACATTAAAGCTTTATTCTCATAGCAACTTACGAGTATACAATCATAGTGCTTAATTCTTAATGAGAAGTATTTTTCTAACTTAATGACTGCCTGCTGTCTGGACACAGCGTTGTATTCTGCTCCCTGGGCCACAGGCACTTCTATTGTTGATATAAAGCATTTGTGGTCTGGCAGGCATTCTAGGTTTAAGGGCATAGCTTAAATAATAATGCTTTAAAATATGTGTGCTATTTTAGCTACTAGGTAAACAAGAATTGTGTGATAGCATTCATTCCTTTGGCAAATATTTATTCAAATCCTGCTGTGAACCGGGCCCTCTCCTCAGCCCTGAAATTACAGCTATGAGTGAACAAAACGGACAAGCCTTGGCTCTGGTGGCCCTTACCTTCTGGTGGGAGCCATGCTCTAAGCGTGATGAGCATGCAAGTGGGTATCTGTGATAGAATTCTAGATGGGGCAGTGCTTTAGAAAAGGCCAGGAGAAGGAATAGGAAGTGGTATTTTCTAGTTCAGAAAGAGCTGTTTGAGAAGGCCTTCTTAAAGAGCTATTGAGCAGAGAGGCCTGCGTGAAGTAAAGGCCTGATGCAGTAACCTTGCAAAGGTATCAGGAGGAATAGCCTTCCAGACAGAGGACAGCAGATGCTGAGGCTTTGAGGACTTCCTAGGAGGGAGTAGAGTGATCTGATGGAGTTGGAAGGGTACCACTCTACGCCAAGGAGAGAACAGACTCTAGTAAGAAAGGAAGCAGGAGACCAGTTAGGAAGTAGTGGTTATGGAGCTTCGGGTGAGAGATGATGATGGAGTGGTGAGAAGTAGTCAGATTTGAGATGTATTCTGAAAAGTCAACAGACTGTGGTGATTGACTGCAGTGAGAAAGAGCAGTCAAGAAAACGCCAGTGTTAGTAAGTAGACACTGGACTTAAAGGATCTACACAAGGTTTTTGCAGTGGCTATCTCTGAGCAGTGGCCTTGTTAGGAGCTTTGCTTTTTCCTTATCTGTATTTATCAGTTTTTCTTTACTGAACCCATAATGCTTCTCTAATACAGTAAATATAGGGATTACTTTAAAATTAGAGTTAACCATGCTACTAAATATAGCTTAATTCTTTTTGTTTTAAGATGTTTTTATTGACTTTTAGAGGAAGGGGGAGAGAGGGAGAGAAACATTGATGTAAGAGTGGAACATAGATCAGCTGCCTCCTGCACGCCCCCCCACTGGTGAGTGAGTCTGAAACCCAGGCATGTGCCCGACCAGGAATAAACCAGCACCCTTTCGGTGCACAGGATGGCACTCAACCAAATGAGCCACACCAGCCAGGGCGTGTAGCTTAATTCTTTTTTTTTTTTTTTTAAATATATTTTTATTGATTTCAGAGAGGAAGGGAAAGGAAGAGAGAGATAGAAACATCAATGATGAAAGAGAATCATTGATCGGCTGCCTCTTGCACATCCCTTACTGGGGACAGAGCCCGAAATCAGGGCATGTGCCCTTGACCGGAATCGAACCCAGG